TCATCTGAATTTTCCGGGCTTAGCGGTATTGAATTTGGGCAAGTCCTTCGATTATGCCCATAATGCTTGCATCTTGAACATGTGACCGAATTAGTTTCCTCTCCTTTGAAAACAGTCTTTCGACTTCTTGAAATATCAGAACGTCGTCTCCACAATGGTGGTAGAACAACTCTATTTTTGACCTCTTCTGGAACAACCCAACTGCACTCGCTTCCCAGAGGATGAATTGTCGCTGCATATGATGCAAAGAAGGCCTCCTTCGTGTAATAACTAGAGCAGTAGTTGTACGCACTTAGTTTGCACGTATTTATCACAGCCAAAGCATGTGGACATGGTATTTGATCAACTTGGAACTCCCTACAAGTACAAGTCTTTGATTGCAAATTTACGACAAATGACTGCATTTTTGGATCCACAACACGAAACACATTGCCATCCGTACGGTGTACCTGTTAAATAGAATTTGTCATGGATTTTAAGTATAAAAGTATCAGGTCATAACCAGTATTGCCAACTGCTTTAGTATAAAGGAAAATGTATCTTACTTCCATTGATAACGACAATGCGTTCTGCAGCTTCAACTGATCCTCTGCTGCAGTTGCAAGAGCTGTGAATGTGGATTTAGCTGCACTACGCCGTTCAAAAAACCATTTCTGCACCATTGACCTCAACCACTCGATCAAACATGTGATTGGCATATCCCTTGCTTGCACCTCAACTGGATTTATTGATTCAACTATATCAGTTGTCATTATTGAATACCGACGGCCGCTAAAAAAAGCTCGAGCCCATTTTTCATATCCGACTTCTTGAAGGTATCTACGGATAAACGGGTCCATAATATCAAGGTTGGCCATGTGAGATTCAAATTCCTCCACAAGATATGCTTTGGAAGCATTGTAAAAGGAAGTAGACTGATTTTTGTCTATATCTCCAAACTTTAGTTGCATATTGTTTAACAGATGATTCGTGCAAACACCATGATCAGCATTTGGATAAACTTTTTTAAGGGCTCTACTGATACTTGTATCCATGTTTGAAATTACAGTCAACTCTTCACGATCTCCAATCGCTTCCTTCAACTTGATAAAAAACCATTCCCAAGCAGCATCATTCTCCGACTCTCCAATCCCAAAAGCTAAAGGGAAAATTTGTTCATTGGCATCCTTAGCACAAGCAGTGAACAACGTCCCACCATATTTAAACTTCAAAAAGCTGCCCTCCACAACAATAACAGGTCGACAATGCTGCCAACCTTGAATGGAAGCAGCCAAGCACATGAAGAAGTACCTGCAGTCATTAACATGAAAGAAAATAAACTAATCATTATCAATATGATCAAATAATGAATATCAATATGACCAAATTTAATAATGTAGACATACTTGAACCGATTATTTTCTTCCGTCTCCAAGACAACGAGTGATCCAGGATTCTTTTTGTCCAACATGTATAGGTGCTTTGCCAATGAGCTATAAGCTTCCTCATATGAGCCTCGCAAACTTGTCAATGCATGTTCCCTTGCTCGCCAAGCTTTTCTGTAAGGTATTGTCACTCCATAAGTTCGACACATTTCCTGAATAATATCATGAGGTTTGAGATTTGAACTGGAAGGTAATTGGTATTTTCTCTTCAATAATTCCCCTACAACCCAACTAGTAGCTTGGCGATGATCACCTTGAACAATATTCTGTGAGCATGAGTGGATTTCATCATATCTTTTTATAACAAACATATCGCTTTGTTGAAGCTTCGTAGCACGTACTGTCCACTTGCAACTGGAGTCCATACAAACCACGTGCAGTAATTTTGTTGTAGATCTCTTTACCTTAAACTGAAAGTCCTTGCTGATTGCAAGCATGCTGAGATGTTTCTTTAATACCTTTTTATTTGAATAAATATTTTTCACTTTCAGCGCAATGGGTGAGAGCTCAGTGATCACATCTCTAACACCGTATTCAAACTCTTCATTTGTTCTATGCCCATCATCGGTATTTGAAGTTTCCATTTGACGTTCAGTGAATCTTTCTTCAGTGAAAACTTGCGCATTTGAATAACCATTCAGAACATTTAGCTCATCTTCAGTGCCCACATTGGGTCTCCTGTCATTCACTCCTACTGGTGAATCAGGGTTTAACTCATATGGCGGACACAGAATGTTTGCATCTGATACGTGGTTATTTTCTTCTAAATATGGTGGCAAAATCTCGTTCATCGGCTCATTCAAAATCTCAAGACAAATCGGGTAGCTATCAATTTGATGATCTTTCTTTTTCAAGTTCAAGTAGAAAAACACATCACGGTCATACAATATTTTGATGGGAGAGCTTCCAACTTCAGCTATATACTTCATTCGTATTGTTTGGGACAAAGGCCCCAAATCTAATGCACCAAATAATATCTCCAAAAGCCCAATATATGACGTTCCAAGAGGAACCAATACTTCCTTTGTTTCATTGTCAACATATCTATTATTCTCGTCCCACCTTCCGTTATAGTTTACAAAAATGCAAACCTCATCCATAACTGTGTTACAAATAAAATAAAATTTGTATCAGAATAAAACTGTTCAAGGTCATTATGATTATTACTATCACAAACTTTACATCTCATAATTTCACCAATATATTAGCAACCTGTTTTATAGGACAAAAAGTCGTGTCATAACAATTTTAGCACTAAAAAACATAAACTAACTAGTAAATGCAAAAACGAGTACATGATTTCATGAGGACTTTTTTTACGGAACCCTATATTATGACTACTCAGATTGCATGCCTTTTCTCCTGTCCAGTCATGAAACAACCTCCAATCACATATCAACTCAGTTTGAGTTCCCATAAACACAACTCAAGCAGTTTATAAGAAAACAAGCTGGATTTCGATGTAGCCATAATTCACGTCATTCAGCTAACATCTCTAACCATAAATGCACCTCCAATAAATTGTTCACAGCATAATGCTGAGCCCAGAGTATAAGGATAGACAAAGAGATGCGAGAACTTATCTATCACATCATTTTGTATTGAGTTCAGGTTTTAATTGACAAGTAACAAGCGGGGGAAAAAAAAAAAAACACAGTCAAGCTTGTGCATGAGAAATTGATATGCAACTGAATTTAGATATCTTGATGGTTCATAAACACGCATATAATAAGTTATTCAGGGCATCTCCAATGGTTTCACCATTTTTTGGTGCAAAGTTGCTCCAATGCAACACCAAACTTTGCACAATTTTGCAAAGTGAATAGTGTTGCACCATATTCATTACACCATTTTTTGCATCAAATGGTGCAATGTCCATTTTGCCCTTATTTTTCATTTTTCAAGATAATAATTAAGAGTATTTGTGTCATTTTCGTTCTATAATGATAATAATAATGATGATGATGATAATTAATTACACTATTAATTATATTATTAAAGTTTATTATTTTTAGTAATATAATCAATAATAATTAACGTAATTATTAATTTAACATAAAGTTTAATTCGTAAAGTTTACGTTTAAAGTTTAATTTAACGTAAAGTTTATTATTTTTGTAAATTTAATGTAATTATTTATCATAAATTAATAATATAATCAATTATTTTTGTCAATTTAACGTAATATATAAAACACGTTAATAATTTAGTAATAAATATATTTGTTAATTTAACGAAGTTATGATTTAGTAATTTATATAGTTATAAAATAAATAAATAAATAAATACATTGTCAAAAATCGAAAGAATGAATAAAATAATAAATCACTGTTCATTTGGTGTAAGTTTTAGTGTAATAGTTGGAGAAAAATTTTGGTTTGGTGTAAGATTTGGTGCAAAATTTGGTGTAAAATGGTACAAATTTTGGTGCAGCGTTAGAGATGGCATCAGAGTGTAATGCTTCCCAGAGTATAAGGGTCGACAAAGAAATGCAAGAACTTGTGTAATCCATCATTTTGCTGTATTTTGACTTCAGATTTTGCCTTACTAGTAACATTAAAAGAGGAAAAAATGAAAAAGAAAAAAGAGAGAGAACCCTCAAAACACACCATCAGGTTTGTGCATGAGAAATTGGTATGCAACTGAATTTAGTGATTGTTCAAAAAATTTTGGGCAACTGAATAGAGTTTTACTTCAGCAATAGTTGCAGCAGGAAAATTGGGGAAAGAAGGGAGATAGATGAGGAAGAGTGAGGCAAAAACAGAAGAGAAGTGGAAAGAATAACGTTTCACATAGAAAAAGACTAAACGTATTAGGAGCAGTACAATGGATGGTTAGTGTTTGCCTTGAATTCCATTAATGATGTAGTGTATTGAGTTGACAATGCATAATCTCTTAGTCCCTTGTTACTATTTTTCACTTTCAGTTCCCATCCTTACCAATAAAAATGTTCAAAGTATATAGCTCCCAAGTTAATCACTTATCCATTCTTATGTGATAATATATTTTTGTGATGAACAAGTAATTAAGTAAACAATATAGAAAGTAAGAAGAGGACAACTGCAACAGTCTTGTAAAAACTTATTATGAGCATGAAACTAGAGAAGTTTTTGGTAATATCATGATATCTGCGGACATTGTTGATGCTAA